CACATCGTTTGCCGACATATTTGATATTAAATCTTATCACCAATTCTTATGATAGTTATAAAACAAAGGTATCGACTGCTTATTATAATTATTGTTTAATTGAGAAAAACCTTGATTTTATTTGACACTCGCAAATATTAACTGTTTATATACCAGATCAGGGAGAGACCAAGACACTCTCTATATTTTAAGTCTTAACAATCAATCTAATTGACAGCTTCAGATATATCTATTTAGCCCAGGGCATTTGCTTTATAATAGCAACAGTCAGTTATGACAAAATATTGTAATTTGAATAACTTATTATGTTTATGTAACCCTTGCTAACAACTGGTAAAACTAATATCGTAGTTATCTATAATTAAACTTTAATTATTGTATAACTGGGAAATCACCTTAGGTAAACTAGTTGAAACTGTTATAAAAGATATTATGTTTTAAAATATTTTTGATATTAAATTTGAATTATTTGAAATGTTAATTTGAATTTACAAAGTAAATTAAATATTCTACATAAATATAAATTATTTCTTTATAAAATATTTCACAATTATTGAAAAATAAAATGAAATGGATGAACATTTAATTACGGTATTTAAATAAATTAATATTATTAGATTATATTCTAGATTAAAAATTCATAATTAAATTCTGGTTAAATATTTTTGTAATTTTTCAAAAACAAAAACATTATATATTTTGTAATACCCATACTACATGAATAATAAAAATAATTAATAGTTTCATTGTAAATAACATTATGTTATTGATGGATTGCTAACTATATTTTAACACGTGAAGATTAATTACTTATTTTAAGAGAAACTGAAATTATGTAGAAAATTGAGCAAATTTCTTATTAACAAATTATTTATACAAAGAATATTTATCAAATTTATTTTTATGGTTTGCAAGAAATATTTTTAAAATATTTTTTTTGAAACTAATTTTAGTTTTATTAGTGATTTTCGAAGAATAATTTTAAATTATTTTATTGAATGTGTTGTTAATTTTAAGTACAGTATTATATTTGACATGAGTTTGATATTTACATGAAGTTATTGACGATATTCATGTAAATATGTACTTAATTTTATTAAAATTTATTATTTACATTGAAGTTTAGTGTTTATTTAGTATTTCTATTAATAAATGAATAACAAACTCATAAAAATTTTTAATAGCATAAAATTGTATATAAAATCATACTTTAGATTGGATAATTGGTGTTATTATAATAGTCTTTGTGATACAATATTAGGCACATGAATAGAATTTTAAAATCTAAACTAATTCATGCCTTTAGGTATATATAATTTATTATCTTTTTAANATTGCATAACCCTTTATATTGAATTTGAACAATTGTTTTGTTTGCGTTACTTATTATACAATAAGACTTGAAAGAGTTTACACTACAGTATAAATAACAGTATATTTGAAAATAATTATAGATTTGCAATAAAATTTAGTCCAAATTGATTTCTTAAACAATAGCAATAACTTAAGGCGTTAAGGCTTATAATCAGTGTATAATAAATTTATTTATAAGTTATAACAATTCTATTATGCATTTTACTAACTAATAAAATGCTTAAATATATTTAGCAAAGGTTTTCGTTTGTGTATATTTAATGGTGATTACAATGATTAAAAGCACTTGAGATCTATTATAAACTTTATAATACAATCATTTAAAATTTATGTATAAAAGTTTTTAATTTTCAGATAACTATTTAATTTAAACCGAATGGACATTAAATAACAAAATCGCCGGAAAACCATAAAAATTTGGTAAAAATAAAAGCAAAAATAAAGTGAAATAACAATGAGTTTGGAATTAAGGCATAACTCGTACTGACTCTACAGACAACTCTCCAGTACTTATCGGCAATGGACTGAATGACCCTCAAGTGGATCAACTGTTTGATGACACTATTAAAGATCCACAAATGGTTGGACCCCTTCGGCAGCACAATAGCCATGTATTGTCGAAATGCTGGCCTATTGTCGGCGATGACCACGAAGTCACAGTTACCTCTCGCCAGCGTCTGCACTGTCATTGTGTCGCCTATGAAGGCGTACCTATCGTTCCTCACTCTGAACACAGCCTCCCGGAGGTCGTCCACCGGCACACCCGTGCTGTTCATCAGTGCGTACATACGGCGCACAACCATATCGTCTTTGGACGCGTCAAACAGTTTCATTGTGTGGCCGTTCCTGAGGGCGCCGTACGTTATCCTCGTCTGATCAGCCAATTGGTTGAACGTCCGGATGCCTCCGACATTGGATTTATGTATTAATGCGCTGACGCTGTAGTTCAGCAACGGATCCGTGAAATCCACATATTTTTCTCTTTCTTTAGTGACTGTTATGTTTGAAATACCGAAGTCTGCGTTCTGTGCAGTCATTCAATACAAATCATACATTAGTTTATATTTTCTAATTTTATTTTTAGATTATATTTGCTATTTTTATAAGTCTAGTGTTAAAAGATATACTTGACAATGCAAATTAGTTTTGCGTTCTGTGCAGTCATTCAATACAAATCATACATTAGTTTATATTTTCTAATTTTATTTTTAGATTATATTTGCTATTTTTATAAGCCTAGTGTTAAAAGATATACTTGACAATGCAAATTAGTTTAAATGTTACTAAATGTATAGCATTGGAGGGTAGGCTAAAATGGTTTTATGTGATAGTCTATATAAAACTATTATTTTACAAGCTTTTATAGAGGGACAGGTATGTTCAATAAATGAACTGACAAATTATATAACTAGATGTGACAATAGTATCTGTGTATCTATAAGTGGTTATGAATGACACTTACATTACGCCAAACCTCTTGTATGAGATGTGAAATAAGGTCTGACTGTCTATTAATAGCCGTCGAGTCGTTCGCATCGTTTAAATAATAGTTAAAGTCTGAGATGTTTTTCATAGCATTCAATACATCGATGACATAACCCGTGTATTGATTGCCGTCTTTGATGACAAAGGGATGTGACTGTAGAGACAAAAAGGATTATTCAATTGACTATTTTTGGTATTCATTTAGTTGTGAATTAATTTACAAACAATAGGATTAACGAAAAGTCTTTATTGTTATTATTGGCTTTGATTACAAACAAACAGATAATAGTCTATAAATGAATACTTTATTTAACAGTTATTTAAACATTTATTTTTAGATCATTTGCTTAAATAAATATTTATATATTTCCTTAACTGTCTGTCTGTTTAGAGAACTTATTTCGAGTTTAACTTATGTTTAGATTATTTGAATAAAATTCATATTATTTTCTAAATATTCTCTCATAAGCTGACTTTAATGCTAAGTTATTTAAAACTAAAATTCATTTTTAAAATATAAATATGGTCTCTCTCATTAAAATATCAAATGTATTTTATTATACAGTACAGGGGAATAATACTGTATTAGCAAACTATTTATTTGTTAACTGATGATTGTCAACCGCAAGTGTTTAAACATAATAACATTTGAAAATGTTTTCTAATTTAGTCTATCACATTTTTGTTAGCATTGGATATGACATTGGCAACTTCAGTATATCTCACAGTTGTCTATATTGACTGACGAGTGAAGTGTTATAATTAGTGATGTAGTGTATGATAGATTAGATGTTATCTAAAAAATGTGAACATAAGGTGTTGACAGGACTCACCTCGAGTGCGATTCCTCGTAATATAAAACAATTAATGACTGATAATAATGAGCCGATAAATAGTATGATATTAAATAAAACACAATTTAAACAAAAATATAAACTCATGTTCGCACTGTCTTTTAGTGTATTCCTCACATCCAGATATTATTGAAATATTATTAATACATAAACGTATATAAAAAGTTGATAACAATATTATTTATAAAAGACTACTTTTTATTATCACAACATAAACGAAATGAATAGTCGGACAAAAAACTTTCCCTCTATTATAGCATACATACGATAATTATGACAATAACTTCAGCCGCAGTCAACCGAAACAAACGGTTGTGTAAAAAACTCCAGGCGTTGGACGAGGAGAGAGAGAGAGAGAAAGAGAGAGAGAGGCACCAAAAATCGGATACAATTTTCTTAGGGAGAGAGTGGTAGTGGTGGAGAAACACCAGTAGTTTATTGGCACTCAACTTGTAATTATAAAGTTGGGCACATAATTAAATCTATTATACAATATATTTGTTGACTGACTCTCACTCTATCAAAAAGTCCTTGAGATCTATTTCCAGTTGACTTTTTTGTGGTACATCTCATGTATAGCTCGTGTACAGTATTCAGATGATAATGTCTACACACAACTGACTCCGATGTTTGTGTGTCTCTACGCTCCGGCACTCACACACTCACTGTTTTATATGCCGTTCCCCATCCACTCGATGACACTCACACCCATCGAATTGCACCGACACTTTCAGATTGTGTTTAGTATATACACACAGAATGTACACATTTCTGTGTACACTGTGTTGTGGTTGTGATTCTGGGGTAGAATATTGTGTTCAAGAATATTGAGGTCGACATACAGTACAACACATTAGCGGTGTTTTACTGTATTGTCAAACACAGTGTAATCGCAATAAAAATATTTTCTTGAATACAATTTAAAATATGCTTACATTTAGAAATGATATTTATTTAGACAGTGGATGGATATGAATGCTTTCATTAAGTAGTCATTCATAGGATGTAGAAAAAAGAGTAATAAATGAAATATAATTTTTGGCTCAATTACTGTCTGGGAATAATGTCTAATGAAGTTTAATTTATGTTTGTAATAGAGATTTTAGAAACCTTAGAAAATATTTAACGAAAACATCACATTTCATATGAAATGCAGACAAATATTAGCGAATATGAGATGAAAAGTTTCAAATTTATGTTGAATTCAGATCATAAATATTATATTATAGTTGTAACAAACAATCGCATAAATATTAGTTAGAGTTTACTTTTCTAACGCTAAATATTTGTCTCTCACGCATACGTACGAAATGGCAAAAAACAAATAAAAAGTTGTTTAATTACTTTAAAAGGACTTCAAATTTGGTTGTTTCTCTAAAGGTTATATCACATTTAAGTACATTAACACCAAAGTATATATTTGTGAACAAAAATACATAGAAATTCTGTGGCTTTTTGTTTTGTCTCTAATACGAGACACAAAAAATGTGTTAAAACTATGGCAACAAATGTATAATCGATGGCATATTCCGGTGCCATAAATAAACCATAAAACTTATATTAGTATCGAGAATAAGTATTTTACATATTATGAGAGTAGTGTAACATATATAAAAGGTTCAAATTAGGCAGAAATTGCTTTTAAGTATATTATCATCTCTTTAATGAATTTGAAATTATAGACAATCTTTAAAATATTAATTTAGTTTATTTATGTAATCAAGTGAAGCATATGATTGTCTTTTAGCAGTATAAAAGTTTTATTCATTAAATATTAATATAATAATTTATTATAAAATACAGTTTATGAATATAAAACGCAATCACTTTTCATTGCAGTCTCGCCTTCCCATTAATACAAATTATGTAATTTTTTGGACAATATATTGAATACATATTTAACGGTGGAAGGGCTGTGTCGGCTATTAGTATGTCTAGGATGTAGAAATTCATGGGAAAGGCTAATATTTATTATAAAATATTTCTAAATTCAGTCTAATTTAATAAATATTAGTACAACAGTTTTAATTTGTAAAATGTACTTGAAGTTCTCTGACGAGATTGTTATTGAAATAAAACTGAAACTATAATTATATTTTATGCTATAATTACATTACATTGCATGTTGTAAAATAGCTATAATTAAAATTAACAATAATTTCTAGTAAGTTTATTTGATCACAATTGATTAAGTTTCCAGAGCTATGAAGTTGATTTATATAATGTTCACAATTAATGAATTAAATAAAAACTTTATTTACATAAAAATACAAATAAATATTATATACAAAGTTTAATAAACATGAATAACATAAAAACATTAATAAAAAGTAAATGAGGTTTGAACTATAGATGTTAATACAATTGAAGTAATATTTTGCAACTCTCACATTTAAACTATACTGATACAGTATGTTGTATTATACTATTTAATGAGTTTCAATTATGAAATGTATTGTATAATAATCCTAAACAAAGTTACGTTGAGTCATCGTAATCAACATTGTCACCAATAGTCACACAATCTTCTACATTGTCCACGTCTAGATCAGGTACGTCCCCATTAGCCATCTTAAAGTCAGGTATCTGTGACTTTACTATCACTGGTTCTTGAAAGTTGTGTCCATTGTTTTGCATTATATGGTCAAATGTATTCTGGTTTTCAATGTTATGCACGATTTGACCAGAATTTGCGTTAACAGCCCTTTGAGGCAACTGTGGGCTACGGTTGGCTACAGGTATCCTATTCTTGATCAACACATTAATAGGTTTGTGTCTATCATCCGAAGGTGTCTTTCCATAGACCTTAACCATATTCACATTAGGCTTAACCGACACTTTAGTTGCCGTATTTGACGGTACATTTGGCCATGACTGGCTGTTATATGTGGTGGGGCCGGTACAGTGGTTGAGTGTGGATGAACTGGATCAGTATGTTGTGGTACTGGTGCCGGTTGTAATAGAACTGATGTTTCAGTTAATGGTACTCGTGTTGACTGGGGTACTGGTGACTGAACAGGTGCTGCGTTTATTGGTTCATTCGTTGTGTGGACAGTATTGCTAGGCCGAGGGGCTGACGAACCCCGAGCATATTATATTAGGTTACCCCGAAAATAATATACCCCGGCTAATATACCCCGAACCCCGAAAATAACTGTTTATTTTACTCGCAAATAAAGGCTTTACAACAGTTGGGACGGGAGATCTGGCACTAGTGTTGATAAGTCTGGGATGACGAGCACTAGCAATGGATGTGTGGGGGTGGGCAGGGGTCGGGTCGCTTATATTTGGCGAATGGTTTGATTTCATCAAATTCTTGGACTCGGTGTCAATGACTTGTTTCAAATGAGAGAGCGACGGACCAGACCTGACATCGGGCTCGGAGTTGACGAGCGCTTTGTTTTGTATCTTCTTCTCTTCGGCTGCTTTGGACACACTTTGCTTCAGATTATGTGTTTCCAAGACTTTGCTCGTGTCGCCTACGGTTTGGGTGTTCCCCAGGATGTTGTCCGCACCTTTCATAATAGTTGTAGTGTTGGGAGCATTTTGGGGTACCCTTGCATTTCCCAAACCATTGGGGAAAAAACAATTTATATAATTTACGAGTAAAAAGATTTCACTCCATATTAATACGACTCTCATTTTGAGGCACTTATTTAAACAGTTATTTTAAATATGTTTTTTCAAGTAAATTCATAATGAAATTAATTACTTTCTAATTTTGTGAATATTTGGTTTCACAAAATAACATAAGTATAGATTAACATACAAACAATTAATTGATAGTTGCAAAATTACTGTAAACCAGCATACTTACGAATATTTAGTATATTTAGTAAATTAATTTTATTTACTGGTTAATATAAATAAATAATAAATTGAATATTCCTTATAGAAGCTTATATTTTTTAAATTAAATATCCATTTCCTTGGATGTGTCGCTAAAAATAAATCGTTTCATACCTTATATTATCACATTAATAGGTTCTGGCTTTGATTTCTTTAGATCTTCAAAAATACTTTGCAATGTTTTATCATTACTGAAATCAGAGTCAAAATGATTGGGGGTTTCCGTGTCTTCTTCGTACTCCTGTGCTATCGTTGCCATTGTTTGTGATTTAGTTATTTGTTAGGCTTTCAGTTGTCATCATTTGTTGATTTTAAACATTTACTCATCCGATTTTGTGACCCCTTCTCTATTTAACACAAGGATTAATGTCACCTAATATTTAATAAACATGTCTATTGACACAAAACTGTAATTTATATACAGTTTTAATATTTTATTCAACAAATGACGGGAAATCAGAAGAGTGTTTGTCGAAACTCATCGGTCTTTTGGAGCCAAACTTTGATCCTTTCTTCTTGGGGGCGAAGATAGTGTCGAATTGGAGATCATCTAAACCGACAAAATTGTGGCTCGACTTCTTTGGTGAAACTATGGACGCCGCCTGAGGTGGAGCTATAGGCACCCCTTGAAGTGGAGCTGTGGACGCCTCCTGAGGTGGAGCTATAGGCGCCCCTTGAAGTGGAGGTATAGGCGCCTCTTGAGGTGGAACTGTGGACGCCGCCTGAGGTGGAGCTGCGGGACCTGCCTTTAGTGCCTCCACTTTAGTTACGGCTTGAATTGATTGTGGTGTTGGGGCGGGTGTTGTGTGGACGATGACCGGGTTAACCGGACTGATCCGACTGCCTAAGATTCTTAGTGGTGGTGATGGTGTACTGGCTGTTGTCTTTGGTGGGGCCGGTACAGTGGTTGAGTGTGGCTGACCTGGAACAGTATGTTGTGGTACTGGTGGGGGAACCGGTGCCACATTTATTAAATTATTGATTGTGGGGACAGTATTGCCTATTTGGCTACAGGAATAGCCCTGGGCATTTGGGTCAAAATCAGTGTCGGCATTACTCCAAACGTGAGGTGCATTCACAGGGTTTACAACATTGGGATTAGAAGGCCTGGCACTGATGGTGGGCGGGCTGATAATGGTTGTGGTGGGGCCGGTAGTAGTGGTTATATTTGGCGAACTTTTGGTAACAGTCGTTGTCATGTGTTCTGTCGGCTTATTTTGGGACGAATTGTCTTTCTCTTTATCCAAACTCTGAACGTTTCCCTCGCGATCCTCAAACTCTTCCTGGAGAATAGTCCTGTTGTCAACCAATTCCTCCATCTTTTCATTCAATACATCAATACATCACTCATATTAGAGTTAAATCTGTTAAATAAGGTTATTATCAAATACCTTGTTTCTAAATTTCTCGGACACGGGATCTGTAGTAATAGTGGTGGTGTTGGTGGTGGTAGTGGTGGTTGTGTCCACTACCGGTATATTGCTCTTTGGATCAACTGATCCCTCAATTGTGGCATAATTTATTGGTATTACCGGTTCATTCCCCGACTTAACCGGGGTAATACAATTCATATAAGTTATGAGTAAAATAATTTTACTCGAGATTAATATGACTTTCATTTTAGATCTACTTATTTAACAAATGATTGTAAATATGTTTTTGAGTGAAGTGACGAATAGTTTAATTACTTTCTAATTAAATAATTATTTTTGAATTTAATTTTGTGAAATATCTGTTTCACAAAATAATGTAATCATAGATTACATGCAAATTATTAATTGATACAGTATTTGTGAAATATACATAATAAATTAATTTTATTTAACAAACTAATATAAAAATAAATAATAAATTAGATATTGATTATAGTTGAATATATTTTTTTTATTAAATATCCATTTTTCGGTGGATGTGTCGCTAAAAATAGTTCAAAAAGTAAAAACATTACTTTACTTACTTTTATCAAAAACTAATAATTTATTTTAATACTTCAAAATTGAATTCTTCAATAAATAGACTACAAATATAGAGCATTAGATTTGAAACCAGATACAGTATAGTTTTTGATTTGCTGTACTGTTAATTTTTTTATATACAGTATCATAAAGTTTAATTTATAATAGTGGTTTGAAATGTAATGCTCTTTAAATGAAAACAAAATAGTTTGATACCTTACATCAATTGACTCTCACTTTGATTTCTTAAAATCTTTTCCTATCATAACTGAAATCAGAGGATTTTTCTGAAACTGAAAATTTTTCATCAAATTTGTTGTAACGTTTCAAAACACGAGCGGCTTCTGGGGCCACATTTTGTGATGTCGCTCCCTGTCCTCTATGGCCTGAACGCCAATCTTGAGCCTCAATGCCTGGCATTGATATAAACACCTTATTCTTGATATTCACCCTATTATTCAAGCCTTTGGGTCTCGAATCTGTGGTTTGCTGTGCAACTGATCCCTGGGAGTCAACGCCTACTTTCCGATCGTTGAGTACTTTCTTCAAGTCACTCAACTCGGAGCCATACCTCTTCATAACATTGTTTAATTTCCTCTGATATTCAATTTTCTCTGAATTTGCGACATTTGCTTGCATTTGGATTTGGGTTTGAGAGGGTCCACCACTTGGGCCGTTGACTGGTATTTGAAATTCTGGTGATCCAGACACCTCTGAAGATACTTCAACTGATCCGCTCGCAGGAGTGCGTCCATAGTTTTTAATGCTATCACTGGTAAAACTTTTGTTAAACTCTCTGATGGCATCTTTGATAAAATCACCCAAATTGTCAGCATTATCACTAT